TTTTTTACATTCCTTCAAATTCTGGAGTAGAATTTGAATTGTAAAATTGTTCCAACTTCGAGGTTTGTAATTAAGTTGATAGATGAAATAGTATTTCCGAAGGATAATGTAGAGGATAATTAACGAGGAATAAGTCAAAGCAGGTGGAAGATTTTTAATTAAAAGACAAATATATGTCAGAGCAGAACTATTTCTGCCAGAATTGAAATGAAACTGGAGCGTTACCATACAAAATGATTAATGTAATTAAGAAGACTTACGCTGGCTTTTCTCCTATTGCAGTTAGACTTACTTAGAGCATATTTGTTGTAAGAGCCCAAAGGAATCCTTCGTTTACCCTTCAAGCATTATTTTAGAATGAAAACACTGGCAAATAAATTATCGAAGGTAACCGTTTTGAAATGTGACGCGAACGTCAAGGAAGATTTCGCCATATTTGTTAATTAAAACAGCTTTATTCCTTATCGCTGGAAGCCTACGTGGATGCTCAATTTGTGAAATTAAAAAGACAAGCCTCTAGCTCTTCTTTATTCAATCAATTTCCCACTAATTTCATTTCTTTGTAAGACACTTCTGGTGAGAAATTTGTGTTAACTTTGAAAACTGACTCTTGCAGTTTGGGAAATGAGCGAATTTTTCTTTTTTTTCGGCGATAGACTTAAAAGCATCGAAATAAAATTTCTGATATCCACAAAAAAAAACCAAATGATTAGTTAAAGAAAATGAAATTAGCGAAAAGGAGAAGTTATTTTTCTGCAACCGAGTCAACCTGAATTCATACATTGTTCAGAGTTAGTGATCGACTTTTCGTGAAAATGTTGACGTTCATCTCATGAACTGGTCAGCAAATAGATGAATTGAGCCAATCCAATCTTAAACTGTCCAGTACATGTTAGAGAAATAAAACAGAATGATAAAGTTATGCGAACTTACAGTGAGCAAATCTTGTTTGCGAGGTCAAAATCTCTCAAGTCTTCAATATCGATATTTCTGCACTGTACATCTTTGAGGTCTGATAACGAGGATGTTTCACAAGAGCTGCACGAGCAACTTGTTGGACAGGTTGAATTTTGCATCAGAGAATTCTCCAGCTGCAAAGTTGATTTGCCAATAGTACACAGCATAAGAATTATCTTCCAAGAGAAAATCAAATTTTTAGTATCCATTTGGCACGAATCTGATTCGATTTGGAGAAGCGTAGGACAGTCGACAAAGTTGTGTGGTACAGAGAACAGAAACGTGACAAGGCGGCTTTCCGAAAGAACAGAATAGTGTTTTCACCATTTCCGATGTCTTAAGTGATCAAAAACTGAATTTGATCCACTCATTGACAGAAGTACCCCACAGTCAAGTTGTTCAGGAAATTCAAGCTGTCATCAGATAAAATCGTGATTACTCTCAATTCTGGCTCTGTTTTTCAAGTTTTACCTTAAGGCAAACACGAAGTTTAAGCTGAAAATCTGAAAAAAATTGTTTATGCCTTCCGTTTGAATGCCAGTGAGGCTCAAAATACTTTTTATCAAGGTTAATTTTCTTTATTAAATTGGACTTCATTCTTAAAATTTCCTTTGCTTTCCGCCCCAGCTCGAGTGGACTTTTTATCAGTGTCATTGACGTCAAAACGCTGTAACCAATTTTAATCTTTCCCATTCTTAGCCACCTTTTATCATCGCGGTTTATATGCGCTTCTGTTGAGTTTTCCCTTCAGTTTCTTCGAGGCGAGGGCAGTTTTGAACGTCTCAAGCCGATTAGTCCTTTAACAGCAATGAGTGACAAAGACAGATTTTTTTTCCTTACAATATCATTACAATATCAAGCAGACAAGTGATGAGAACAAAGAAAAATAACACTTACAGGATTGGTAGTAGATCCAATATCAAACTCTTAAAACTAACATAAGAATTTTTAAGGCAGACAGTAAGGAGAATTAGTTATGAGATCTTAGGAGAGAAAGGGTCTATCAAGTCATGGCGGTTTTATTCCTTTAACATATTAGCATACCTGGAGAAGTTTTCGTCAGGTACTTGACCCTCTGACTCTTGAGGTTATATTGAGATCGTGGGTGTGAAAGGGTGAAGACCCTTGAGTCAATCACTTTTTTTTCAGTGGACCTTTTCACAACGCTCAGAACCTTCATCAGCTATTGTTAATCTGTATTAAATCGAAGGAGAAATAGAACTCAGAAAAAGGACGCCGAGGTCCAAAATTATGCGGAAGGTACTTTCGGAAATCTCTTCCGTCATAAGGTAGGGAACTGCACCATTGCTTTCTTTATTTGGAATCTATATGCTATTAGGGATTTGTACTAATATCAAAATATCCAAAGATGCTACCTAATGTTAATGATTGTGTAAGCATAACTCTATGAAAAATATTCGATAAGTTTACAGCGCAAGATCGCCACATACAGAAATTCTTATACGCGGCCAACGTGGTCAACCCCCACCGGGAAAAACACTCGACTAATTTATTCATTTTTAGGCAATCTTTATTCGACCCACTCACTATTTACAAAGTTAATTTATCAACTTAAAAAACAGACGTAAATTAAATGAATAAGGGTGCAGGATATCCTGAAAGAAATTACATAAGGACTTGTCAAAGTATGATATCCTTGTCTCGTTACATTGTCTCATTGCTGTGTCTCTGTACTCAATACAGGAAAATTCTGTTCAATATTAATACGATCATTTATTCTCCAACTGCACAAAGTAGAGTACAAATAAGGCGCGATAGAGTACAAATATTCTGGTTATTTGGACAATTGGTTATTTTGTACTGCTAAAAAAACCTATTTAACTAGTCGGCTGCACGCGCTACGCTACTCTATCCGCTTTGCTTTTCCCGCCTTATGAGAAATGAGCAGAGTTTGTTGTTGGTAAAATACGGTACAACTCGTAAAAATACACCGCGATACTACACACCAAAACGTCTCATAGGATATATATATATATATATATATATATATATT